TCATTTGCTGGTCAATGGAGGTGAACGCTGAGATGGCAGACATAAGAATGTCATCACTGACCAGCACGTTTCCTTGAACCAGCGTGTGTGTTAGAGGGGAGGGTGGAACTGTGATGTAGGTGGACACCTGCAGGACAGTCACAATGACACACAAGGAAGACATTTTTTTAAAATTTCCATGTGATAGAGTCCACAAATGGAGTACCTCCACCAAAAATGCAATTCTTCCAGAGTCAAATCTGTCAGAATAGAGTCATAGTGTGACAATCATAACAATTGTAGTTATGAGAAGTCGAAATGTAATGACAAAAAGTTAATTTAGTCACGTATACTCCATTTTATAACAAACAATGGTCTGATTTTCTTCTCACCTGCCTGTTGGCATTAGTTTGAGGTCCTGACGTGATGGAGGGAACCGGTGTGTAAGCATTGGTGGAGGCCAAAGACACAGTGGACAGGGAGGGGGCACTCGACTGGCACTGCTCCCGTTTGTGTGCCATGAAGGCCGGCAGGGAATTGAACTGCTTCTTACACTTCCCGCACAAGAACACATCTTCGTCATCTGTGGGGAAAAAACAAACATATACAGTGAGGCGGAGGAATTGTGTATACCAACATCTATCCATCCATTTCCTGTAGTGCTTTTCAGGGTCACAGTGGAGCTGGAGCCTCTCCCGACAGCACTGGGTGGCAGCCACTCGCAGAGCACATAAAGAAAAGGGACCATTCACATTAATTGAACTCAACTAGGATTTCTCCAACCTTTATTGATCAACGGCACATATTTTACATTAGAAAAAATTCACTACGCACCACCAAACAAAACTGTCCCTGAAAAAAAAAAAGTGGATGCACAGATTAACTGTACCTTCTGCCATCTCGTGACAGAACATTTAATTGTTCTTCCTGGCCAGTGACACAGATACAGAAACAAAGACACATTATTTGCGGTAAAGAAATACTAGTCCGTAAAATCTCGTAGGAACAATCTCGTGTTCCGTGTTGCACAGGCGGAGACTCATTGTTCTAAAGAAGGCAAATTCATTGGAATGCAGAGTGGCTGCTTCGTCATTCACGCACCCATAGACTGGATAGTTGGTGTGCCGGAGACGTTTTGGTTGTTTGGGTCAGGAACACCTCCTTGACCGTCCAGCAATGATTGGACCGCCAGTACTGTCTGATTGTCCATGCCTGGAGAGGAAAGTCAAATTTGGTGGTTGCATTGGATCCATTGGTGCATCATTTAAAAATACGTCTTGAGAATGACTGATTCACAAGCAGACATGACATGTAATTTTAAATCAAGCCCATCAACTGTGTTTATGCCTTCATACGTGCATCTTGCTTTGTTTATATTATACTACCTTACATATAATCCGATGACTACAACCATATATACATGATCATAAAACCCCGGGTGAAACTAAGTATACCTACAACACTTCACGTAATGTATCATTTATTGCTTAAAATATAATTTTGTGAAAGCGTCTCATCCAATGTTCAATTTAGGCATGAACTAGATTGTTTCATTTTTGCACTCGATTCTACGTGGTTTTGTGACGAAAACACTAGCCAAATATTAATTTCTGTTGCGTATAGTGCACGATGAAATTGTTCCGATAAATCACACAAACTTAATGTGGACAGCCAAGCCATTTAGGTTGTAATTAAATGGGTATTAATAAATTATTCTTACCTTCAAGTACCTCAAATATAGCCTGCGCCATTTTGCGGTTCTTCAACTGCGTGATCGGCATTTGACTAGCAGAGTCTGCTGAATTGGAAGCGCTGCCACAGCTGTCAATGTGGAGCAAAACACTCGAACTAATGCCGTGGACAAGCGTGTGACTTTTGGAACGTTAATTACAATAACGACCTAATAATACCGGAAACATTCTCGGAACAGAAACACTTCCATTTACAAATTTCATGTTCGAAAATGAAACCAGAAAATATCACAGAAAAGGCTTAAATGTTTCCAAAAAAACTTTAGACATGTGGTATTTAAAATAAATACGATAATGTTATTTACGATAGTCAAACTAAATATATAATGCCACTGTGTGACATTAAAATGCATCTTGTATCGACAAATCTGCGATCGATAAAATGACTGACAACAAAATCCACCAATCAGATGGCGCTTAACTCGTCTCACTGAGGACTCAGTTTCTCGACCAATGAAAGGATCCAGGCTGGCACACGTGTCGGTTTCGCGGCAAAAAAGATTTCGCGCGAAAAGTGCCCCATCCTTGTTTGGACCTGGATCAGCTGGGACAATAACAACAATTACGGACTACAACAGGGCAGCGGAGATCTTTTTAGAAATGGACTGCACCCGCCGTGACCTTCTTGTGGCCGAGCATATGTTGATTTGGCGGATCTGCTAATTTACGCGAGGCTTCATTTTCTGTCTTTTTTTAAAATCTGCATTTAGTCGGACATCTTCCCGCATGCCCCAACAAACCGAGGGGGGTTGGGGCTAATGACATCGCTAGCATGCTAATATGACTAACTCTATGTTCTCATGTAGGACGTCATTTATTAATGTCCCACTCAACGAACACTTTATTAAAATGGTCCGAACATAACGGAAGCCTTTTGGTGGGGGTGAAGGCAACTGTCTTAGTGCCGCACAGCGCTTTCGACCCTTTCTGGAAAACCGCCGCAAAGTTTTTTTTACTCGTCATCTCATTCAAGTTGCTGCCGTGTCAGGCGTTGTGTTGTTGCTCCTAAAACGTAAACGGCGACTTTGCCTCGTGTTTGTGCACTTTTCGTGTCGTCCCAACATGCGGCTAGCTCCTCGTTAGCATGCCTGTCGGCGGGGCCTGGTCTCGTGCTGACAACCACAGGTGAAAACAAAAGGGTAGCATGCTAGCTCGCTATCCATCTGCTCTTTTTACTGCCTCGTCCGCTTTGTGTGCTTAAACCTCAACTCTGGCTTCCCGAGCTGGTACGTATTTATCATTATTTGTATGTCAAATACACTTGGTAGAACATCACGTCCTGCAATTTCACTCGGAAGTAGGATTACAATATGGGTGTCATACACTCATGAGGAACTTCTCCAAAAAGTCTCCACAAGTTGCTCAAGAACACTTGAAGTCAAACGATCACGCGGCATCTTGTTCACAGATACGAGAACCTTTTAAGTGGAGGACTTGTTGAGTTAGTGTGAATCTCGTTCTGGCATAGCAAACTGTGAGAGACTCCTGCCATGTCAGAGACTCTGATAACAGGCCACACGTCAGAGGATCTGTTGGCTGACTTTGAGACTTTGCTCAACTCTGGAGGTGTTGCTCTTGGTCAGGACCACCAAATAGTCATCATCACCAGCCCCAGCAATGAGGGACTCCACCCAGACGCAGCCCCTTCCAGCACGGGAGAAATCTTGCTGTTTGCTACCCCACAGGGATCCGCTGATGTGGCCTTCCAAGACAAGAGAAGGCCGTCCCTCGGAAGGCCATCGGTGAGGGCTTGCAGGCTTGGTGGTCGGGTTGGCCCATCAAGGTCACGTGTTACCGAAATTCAAAGTGTGGAGAATTGTTGCAAAGTTTTGTTAAGCTATGGAATTTCACACACTCAAACATAAATATCACTATTTCTCAGAAGCACACGCACAAGCAAAATAGATTGCTCTCCTTGCCCACATGTGACGGCATCACACAGGATCCAACATTAATGGTGGTTGGATGGTCCTGGGCCAGCATGACACTGTGTGAGGCCGTCACATAGCTAATAGACGCTTTCCCCCTTCTCCTCATCCTCACCACATTGTTATTTCCCCCTCTTTTTTTATTTTTTGTTTACTCAGGTTAAGAGGAAGTTGGACCTGGACAGCGACCATCAGTATGTTAGCACGACCCGGCCGTCTTCAGGCCACGCTCCTCCCTCCACACCTGCCCCTCCTAGAGGTATATACACGCGCACGCACGTGCACACAAATTTATTGTTCACGTCAGTTCTCATGTGTGTTCATTCACCCATGATTGGAGTTCCCGACAAACCGGACTCGCTGTCATTACTAGAGCCGTCACTGGACTAAAAGCAGTGATTCTCAACTGGTTTGGTTGGGACCCAAAATTGGGTTGCGGTCCGAAAAAAAAAAAAAAAATAGGGGCATCTTTGTTTTTTAACGGTACCTACAGATGAATGTTTTTCATTTGATTTTTTTTAGATTTCTGGATTTTTAGTTGAACTTTCAAGATGAATTGACAACTGATCATCAAATTAATCGACAACTTTTTTTTAATAAACCTGTAATCGTTTAAGATATTCCATAGAATTGTTCAAATGCGCTAATTTTAACCTCTCATCATTCTTCTCCAATTTTTATATTTCTTCACAAAAACAGACAGTTTAACTGCTGTGTTAAATCAAAATAAGACTTTTGCCAACATCTGTTTCTACAATGGAAAACAATGACCGAATCACGAAATGAATCGGTTTCAAAGAGGTTGGCGAGTACATCGGACATTTTTTTAGTTGTTGTTGAGTTGTTTTTTTTTTTTTTTTTTTTTAATCACTCAGCAATACTGAATGAATAACAAAAATTGAAAATTCACATGAACCAAAATGTGAAGATTTTAGGTGGGATATGAAATGGTCAGGACAGTCTTTCACGGTGACGTTTTGTGTTCCTTCTCCTCCCAGTTCCTCGCACCCTTACGGAAAAGTCTCGCTATGACACCTCCTTGAACTTAACCACCAAGCGCTTTCTGGATCTCCTGTCCCAGTCAGCTGACGGCGTGGTGGACCTGAACTGGGCCTCGCAGGTCCTGCATGTCCAGAAACGGCGCATCTACGACATAACCAACGTCCTGGAAGGGATCCATCTCATTTCTAAAAAGTCCAAGAACCACATCCAGTGGCTGTGAGTGGAAAACAAATAGAAGGCAAATTCCTTAACAAAGACTGTAATTGGTTTATCCCCCCCCCGTTCTGTCTCGTTCAGCCTCGTCGCTCGGTGGGCGTCTGACTTTAGATAGAAACGTATCCAAGATGTGGTGTAAACCAAAGAACGCGTGTTTGCTCATCCTTCACAGCGGGAACCGCGTGGACGGGGACTCGGTGGCCCTCCAGCAGGACCTGCGGAAGGAAGTGTGCGACCTCACCGCAGCGGAGGAGCGGCTCGACAATCTCATCTCCAAATGCAATCTTCAGTTCAGTTTGCTGACAGACGAGCCGCAGAGCAAGAGATATCCTTTCGACTGCCAAGTTTTGGATGAATCGGGCCGATGCCGCCATGTTGGAATGGAGACGTTTGTGACGATCACGTTACGTGGCTGATGCAGGTCGGTTTCTTTGACGCGGCGTTATACCATTTGAGGATATGCAGCCCGAAAGGAGGAAAATAAGCACGTATTTCTGGATGCTCTTATGTCAGTGGTGTCCAAAGAATGACCCCCTGGGGACCTTTTGTGGTGTGCCATGGAGAGTACAGTGAGAAGGGAAGGTGTCAAAATAAATAGGTGTAAATTAGTTTCAATACTGCAGGGTGTTTGTAAGTATGCACAGATAGAAGTAGATTATTTACGACAACAACCATAGCGCAATTTCTCTGAAATACTGATGAAAAAAAAGATCATTTGATTTTAAAAAGATAGAGAGTTTCTTACGTCTTTCTGCTCCGTGTTAAGGTTCAATATAGGAAGCTCTCATATTAATGATCAACAAGTTCTGGTTTTGGTTCTGAACATGGAGATGGGATTCGGCTGCTGTTCGGCGAAGAACAAGCCTTATGCTTCACTTGAGTCGCCAAATGCTGAGAATTTATTCACGAGGTGACCGCACGGAAACTCCAGCAAAGTGGAGATTTGTGTCGTGGTACTTCTGCAACCAAAGCTAATCGTCAGCCAATATTTATTTTCTTATTATTTCTGGTCCTTCAAAAATTCCATTGACATATAAAGTACACGTACACGCGGGAGTCTTCTGACCATTTTGCTCCTTAATGGTTGTCTGTCACGCTGGGCTACGTGCGCTGCCAAGATTTGAGGACGTCGTTTGATACCTCGGACCAGTTGGTCATGGTGATCCGAGCTCCACCAGAGACCCAGATGCAAGTCTCAGACCCCAGCGAGGTTGGCGCGCTAACATTTCATCAAAACACTTTTTCGGGGCGGGGGAAAAAAATCGCATCCGCCAATTTTCGCCTTCTTTGTGTGACTCGCAAGGGTTACCAGGTGTCGTTGAAGAGCACGCAAGGTCCCATCGACGTCTTCCTCTGCCCAGACGACAGCTCCGGGGTTTGCAGCCCCGTAACGGGAAGCAGTCCCTTGAAAGCGAGCGTTGACCGCGCGGCGCACGCGCCGGCCCGCCGGTCGACACCCAGCAAAGGCAGAAGCTCCTCAACTTTGGAAGTTGCATCGTCATCCCCTGTGTCCACGTCGTCCACGGCGACAGCGGCATCTCAGCCAGAGTCCTCGACGTTGTTGTTAGGTGGGCAAACGGGTACGTGTCAACGAGCTCCTCTGTTTTCAGCCAGGTTGTTTGTGGAAGTTTACGATTTTAGATGAATATTAAATTAGATTAAATGATTGTTTTTTAGGTGCGTGCATAATGTTGACGCGTGTCCTTGAAAGAAAGTACAACAGACGTTTACACAAAATCCATTCCTGAACAGTAGTCACCTTTGTTTGGATTTTCATTGTAATACCCCCAAAAATTCCCAATAATGTGAGTCTAGTCACTTGCAAAAACAAATACCACGCCAAGACAAAATCGCACTGCCATTGTATCTGGCGGGTGAAATGTGAATTTGTTCAGAGGTTAACCACTGTATATGATAATAATAATGGAACACTCACGTGGTGGCGCTGCAGTCTTACTACTGTGAATGCGAGTCCGTATACATCCTACTTCCTCAAATTCTTTTGTCTCACACTTTTTTGTAATGCAAAAAAAAAAAAAAAGCCCAGGAAAAAAGTCAAAGGCAATGAGTTCCATATTTTTAAGAAGTAGGTGGTGTTCTTTGTTTCTGTGGCAGAATCCCTTCTGAACAGCGACCCGTTCTCAGGCCTGGGGGACATGGCTGACTTTGACTTCTCCACGGACTTCCTCCACGGAGAGAGCCTCCCTCTCCCGCTGGATGGTTTCATCAACTTGTCTCCACCACACAGTCCCGACTACCACTTTGGCCTGGGGAGCGACTCGGGCATCACCGAACTGTTCGATTGTGACTTTGGTGACCTGTCACAAGTTTTGGGGGAGAGTTAGACAAGGGTTGGGCAGGGGGGTGGGGGGATTTTGGCTGTGGGGAAGCGCAGACTAGTATAGTGGACCCTCGGAGGTTCCACCTTTTTGTTTTGTTTGACATAGAACCGGTTCACCATTATAAAACTTTGAAATACAGTGCAGGTGAGGTTTTAAATAGCATTTAAGTTTGTGCACACTCGCACCACACTTTGAGACGCACTGTAATGGGCAACGTAATTTCTCGAGAATAATGCACCTCCCACCCCCCCAAAAAAGGAGGGGGGCAGAAATATCAGAAATAGAAGGGAGATCTTACACTGTACACAGGTTTAGGGGACAAACAAAATTCGTCACAATGTAGAGCCGTTTACTGTTATCCCTGTGTTGAAGCTATTTAATATCTAATGCTACAAATCTATCAATAATGTTTTTTTTTTTTTGTAACTACCCCATGGAGTTTTTTTTGCTGTCTTGAACTTCGCACACATTCGAGAAGTATTAGGATAAATGGGGTTTTTTTGCTACTCACTGTGAATTCCAGAACGTGGCAAATGTTACCGTATCATATCTGTTGCTACGGCATCAGTTGGATGAAAAATATCAGATTTAGTGTCTTACATTACTAGACAACGGAAATGCAGTTTATCCGTGAATTATACCTTGCACATGCTTGTAATTATAAGTAGTTGTAATTGCTTCTGTACACGGAAGCTATTCTCTGAATAATAACAATAAAATACAAATTACTTTGCGGATCATAATTACCGTATTTTCAGCACTTAAAAGGTGCTTGGGAGTATAAGACGCACCTTCAGTGAAAACGGTTTTCATATATAAGGTGCACCGCATTATAAGGCGCATAGAATAAAAGCTAGTGGCGGCGGTTGCGTTATGCATCCACTAGATGGAGCTACGCTAAAGGGAATACAATACAATTCAGCTTTATTTATATAGCGCTTTCCCCTCGGTGCAGCTGTAACAAAGCGCTTTACAGAACATTTAAAATACTACGTCCAGGAAATCAGAATATTGATCCATATTTCAGGCGCATCGGATTGTAAGGCGCGCTGTCGGTTTCGGAGAAAATTGAATGCTTTTAGGTGCGCCTTATACAGCGGAAAATATTGTAGATTTTCAACAAAAGAAGAAATTGAAACATTCATTGGGATTTGGATGACAGTTCAGTTGGACGTCGCCACAGATTTTATGTCGCCCTGTTTTTGGAGCCACTTCTCCGAGTGAAAATTTTTTTTTCCCACACTCTACTGAGTACATTACAACCAGCAAATCCGGGGAGCATAGTAGTCGTGTGTAGAAAGAAAACTTAAGGCTGTGTATATTATTTGGGTTTGTTATTCTTGAGAAATTACATTCATCCAGATTTCATCCCCCCCCCCAGTGTAGCTGTAATACTCCTTTGTACTATAACCTCCGAGGGTCCACTGTCGTACTTTAGACAAGCAACATGGGCAATATTGATTTTATTTTTTATGTAACTTTTGTGATTCTAATTGAAAATCACCCCCAAAATTTTATGGCACTTCCTGTTTGGACTTCAGCTCGGGTTTAGCTGTATTTAAATTATTTATGTGTATATATATTTTTGTGTAGTGTTTTTATTGTTTGGTGGTATGTGCAAGTAACCTGTGAGTTTGGATCCACATCAGGCTTGGTAGCGCTTGCGTGGTCGCAGCTGGCGCCGCGGCTTGTCCCGTCGCAAGGTGTGACTTGACAAGCGTTTGCGTACAAATCTACCGTATGATTTGCGTCTAAATCACTGGAAGCCCTCAAGATCGTTGTGGATAGCGAGCTGTAGGGATTTTAACTGGCGTAACGTATTTTGCAGGTTTACCCTAAATCTTCATGGTTTATATGCCTTTCATGGGAACGTTGCTGGTTGAGTTTAGCCGAGGTTGGATGGTCCCGGAAGGTTAGTTCACAAAGAACGTTCACAACCCTCAAAGTGTTCAGTACGTGCGTGTGTGTTTTTTTTCTTCAAACAAGAATCGTGCTGTTGTTCATAAGTGTACTTAAAAATATGTCAATTCATATTGGTGCCTTGAGTTGTTTACCCTGCAAGTGGGTCTTCTTATCTTGAGCGCAGCGATCAGTAGTCACGTGGTGGTTCATATACCGTACACTCATCAATGTACAACACGATCGTTTTTTTTAGAGGGGGAATGAACAGCAATAACAAACGTGTTTTCTATTCAGCCATTGGCCACCTTTGCAAAACGTCGCTCTTTTGTAGATACCAATTGCGTCGAAACATTTTGCGTCTTCTAATTTATGTTTGCTTTCCCCCTTCCTATTCCTTTACGGGGGGAGGATGTGCGTGAGGATAAATTAATAAGCTTTTATTGCAGCATTGAATTTGATATTTATTATTTGATGACGTTCTAGAGAAGTGGTACAGATCTTCGTACCAGGAAGGGACTTTTAACATGATCCATGCAAATGATTCGTATGAGTTTTTTTTTTTTTTTTTTTTTGCATGTGAGCTATTAGCGTGTTTTATTTTGCGCATCTGCCAGTGATGGCAAACGTGTCCTCATTTGTAATTTTGGATTTCTCAGTCACTTTAATCACATTCAGTATTGCGCATAAAATATGTTTTGGATGTCTGACTGTCCTTTAAAAAAAAAAACCTTCAAATGCATCTTTTCTCACTAACATTGCGCAAGTATGAAGTTTAGCAGCTGGGAACAACATGTATACACATGTGCAAGCATCTTTTAAAACCGGGCAAGCACCACCAGGGTTTGAATCCCATCCCCTTTTACTGTCGGTAGTCTTGTTTGGAATGTTTTTTGAATGTTGTCACGATGAGAGTCACCTAGATATCAACATGGGCCAAAAATGGTATCTGTAGCTTCAATTTTGCAAGATTTCAGATCCCGCCCCCTCATCCGCCCCTCATTCAGTGTTTTTAGCAGAGCCTATCCTCTACTTTGTGCCGAAAAACTCAATTCACTGTTTTTGTTCTCTTTGTGGCGCTCCAAGATGGTGGATGAAAATAGCTTGTCGCGTTTGTCCACCCAAGTCCATTTTTTTTTTCAACGACTCTAAGCCATTGATTTTAAAGATTGAATAATGTTGGATGAGTTTGAAATAATGAAGTGATTTGTTCCTTTGGGGGTGTATTTACAGTTTAAACGAAATTCATATGTGCAATTGTAAAAGTTCAGTGAAATTGTACTTTCATCTACTTGCTGATTGGAATGCAGACATGAGAGATGCACTGAATGGATCCTGATTTCATCGATTGGGGCGGAGGGTGTTAAGCAACATGCAGGGTTTTTGGATATTATTAGATGGCAGTATTAGTTTATATTTTCTTGACATTTTAAAAGTTTTCCAAATTGCTGATTTTGAAAAGAAATGTGCCGGCCCAAGCGAATGCAGCATTTTTTGATTTAAAAAAAAAAAAAGATAGTTATACCTCAATGATTGTGTCTTGGATACAACCCTGGCTCAAAGTGCTTTGAAGTGGATTCTTTGTAATAATAATTCAGTTGAATGCCATCCTGAAATGCCCAAATATTTCTCTCGGATTTATTCTTGTCGTTAGTTTGTACCTGATTTTTTTATTTTTGGTGAATTTTGGACACTTCCTGCCCTTTTGTATCTATTTTTATTTGACAAAAATAAAACGATTTGGTCTACAACCCTTTCATCTTATGTCGTTTGGAGTACTGATGTTTCGGATATAATCTCCAAAAGTAGTCTGGGTGAGGCCTCGTACTTTGCCGTAGACTGAAAAATTGGGTTTGATGTAGCTTAACGTTTGCCACATTTCAAGTCAGCCGAGTAGGATTTGCTGACCTTAATTTATTTCTTTGTGTGTCTTGAGATAGGCGTGATCAGAGTTTTCGAGAGATGAGCTGTTGTTTGGCATATTTTTTACGTCCATCCATCCATTTTCCGATTCGCATAATCCTCACAAAGGTCGCGGGGGGTGCTGGAGCCTATCCCAGCTGTCTTCGCGCAGTAGGCGGGGGACACCCTGAACTGGTTGCCCGCCAATCGCAGGGCACACATAGATGAACAATCCGCGCTCACACTCACCTTGAGACAATTTAGAGTGCTCCATTAACCTACCATGCATGTTTTTGAAATGTGGGAGGAAACCCGGAGAAAACCCACGCAGGCCCAGGGAGAACATGCAAAATCCACACAGGGAGGCTGGAACTGGAATTGAACCCGGTACCTCTGCACTGTGAGGTTGACGCTCTCACCGCTGGACCACCGGGCCGCCCTATATATTTGATTTGGGAGCAGAAATTCAACATACCATCACTGTATAAGTGCCGTTGAACTCAACACACCTAAAAAAAAGCTGCCCTCTCTTCGTCAGTTTTAGCTCAACACTCTAACAGTGATTATGGTGATGATTAGGGTTTTAAATTAGGGTTAGGTTTTGTTTCACCTCAGGTTTGGCTTTCAAAGGAAGGTTTTCAACTAGGGTGAGGAATTCCAAGTAGGGTTTTTCAACTAGGGTCAGGGTTAAAAAAAACACTCATAATCATCTGGGTGTGTCTTGGCTAGTAGCCAAGACAAAATGCACAAGTTTGTTTTTGTGTTATTGTCCAGACAGCAGGAACGTGTTCATTCCTTCAGTCCGTATTGCAGATCAAGCAGGGGGTGCGTGCGCACCAGAAGCGCACGGCAAGCGCATGTTAGCGCTCTTTACTGCTCTTGTAAAAGCATCCGCATCCATCTGTGACCACACTGGGAATCATGAGTGTTTGTTCAGGATTAACATCATATTTCTCAATTCCTATGCTGATGTGCTCATCGGAAAGGAGGAAAAGTGAGATTGTTATCAGAGGGTGGGAGGAGTCTTCTTATCACTCATTGCTGTTGCTTGTTGGAGCTGTCAGTCAGAACATGGAGGCCACGCCACAGACAGGTGAGCGCCACACTACAGGCCACCCGGACCATTCGTTTTTGTTTCATTTGTCCTCCAAGAAAAAAATGTGTCTTGGTTCCTTTGGCTGAGCATTTATCCACTTTTATACATGAAACACAATGTGGTTTTTAACTTGCCATGTGTTGTCAAACATTGCTAACATTCCAGATAAAATGGTGCAAATGTATTTCAACAAGCGGATGTGTTTGCGCATTCACAGATTGATTGATAGGTGCTGTGAATATAAATGCCAAGACAGTTTGTGTAAAAACCCAAGACACACATTGACTTTTTTTTTGCATTATTCGGTTGCTAATTAACTAGTTTTAAAATCTTATTTATTATACAGAGTATATA